AGCATGGGGACTAATAAATCTAGACGGGGCGGACTTGGTGTATGAGAGCCGTAAGACATGGAGGTCTTGTGAGCGGGTTCTTTCCGCCTGTGTCGATTAAGGTCCGTCCGTTGTTGAATTGCGTGAGATGAGAATTTGCAATACTAACCACATACTCCAGTAAGCCTTAACTTGGCTATTCTACTACGAGAATGGCTACTCGCGCACTAGGAGTGGAGAGATGGCAGGAGCAGCGTGTACCCACGTGGCAATGGGCTGGATTGGTGGAGTACTGTGCTCTCAGGTGGCGTGGACCCATTTTTGTTTTAGAGGACCTAAGGGTAGGTTGGTATATGTAGGTCGGGGACCTGCATATGTCGTGTGGTCGGAAATCCCCAGCTAGGTTTAATCGGTTCGAATCGTCGTTGCCCCTCGGTTATGGAGACTCAACTCTCTGTTCATCATCATAGTTAATAACTGGAACTTGAGGAAGGTTTGAAAAAGAGTTTGATGTGAAGTTCATGATCTCATTACGGATCATGACAGATTCATATATGGTAATTATGAAGTTTTAAATGTTGAAATAAAGAATTTTGTTAAAGAGCTTTTACGCAAAAGAACTTTGATTATTGCTAAAGCCATATCTTGAATCCCTGAGCCTGCATTCCTGAGTTCTATCAGTTTTTATTTTGGTTAAGTTTTGTTGAGTACTTTTATACTCAGGGTTCGTTGAACCTTATTACAGGTGAGCCTCATGAGTAGGTCTGCTTTGGACTGTGCTGCATGACTGTTGTTCAAATCGATGATGATAAGTAATTGTGTGGCCCTTGGGCAGGACACTTAAATTATGTGTTTTGTATTATGTTACTAATGCCACTCCACTACTATGGTTTGTAATAATAATCGAACTTAGTTTGTGAGGTTTGAAACTACTGTTTTGTAAACTAAGTTGTTGTAAGACTTCCGCTATTTTACTCTGATATAGATATTTGAATAAGTGTTGTAATACTACAATGACTCTGTAATTGGATCATGCTCAGAAATCGTGGATGATTCGGGGTTCCCCGAGGACACCCGACAGTCTTCTTAAGTTACCGGGAACATATGCATGGTCGTCAAAGGTCATTGGACAGTGACAGATGCATGTGGGCCCTATAATTTAGGAGGTTCTGACACACACGTCCATGGACATTGTTTCCAGGGGCTGCTCAGGCGCATCTTGTTGCTGCTCCATAGCCTGGCTACCCCTACTGCACCTACATCTTCCACGGCAATCCATCAGTTGGTGCCCCTACTGATCTGATGGTGTCCTAGAACCAAGCCACCCTGGCCAGCACCTTCAACACAATGACACTGCAGCAACCCGATGCTATTTGGTACATGGACTCTGGTGCATCCTCACATCTTTCCTCATTGTCTGGAAATCTCTCTTCCAGTAACTCCGCTCTTCCTTCCAATTCCAACATCATTGTTGGTAATGGTACACGTTTACCTATCACTTTTTCTGGTAAGACTTTGTTCCCTAAATCCAACCGCCCTCTCTACCTTTCCAATGTCCTTGTTTCAACCTACCTCATAGCTAATCTCGTTTCCATTCATAAATTTACCAAAGATAATTCTTGTTCAGTTGAATTTGACCCCTTTGATTTAACTGTGAATGATCTCCAAACCAGGACAGTGCTCCACCGTTGTGATAGCTTTGATGATCTTTACCCACTCCTTCTGGCATCCACTTCCCATCCTAGTGTCCTGCTCGCTGCCCTGGAGACCACTTGGCACTGGTGGTTGGGACATCCTGGCGTCTAAGTCCTCTCCCGCTTGAGATCAAATAATTTTATTTCTGTTATTTGTAGTGATCATGACACCTTTTTGTGCCATGCGTGTCAGCTGGGTCGTCATAGTCGCTTGCCCTTCTCTCATTCCTTGTCAAGGCCTTCTAAACCTTTTGAGTTAATTTACTGTGACTTGTGGATGTCTCCAATTATGAGAATATCTGGTTCTAAATACTACCTTGTGTGTTTGATGATTTTATGCATTATTTATGGACTTTTCCTCTCAAACTGAAATCTGAAACCTTCACCAGTTTGTGCAACTTTCATAGCTATGTGCTTACTCATTTCAATTGTCGTATACAATTTGTTCATAGCAACAATGGTCATGAATTCGACAACAATGCTGCTCGCACCTTCTTTCTTGAACAAGGCATTCATGTTTTTCTTTCTTGCCCCCATACATCTCAGAAAAATAGCAAGGCCGAACGAGTCATTTGGTCCATCAATAATATCATGCGCACCTTGTTATTTCAAGCATCAATGCCGCCTGCATACTGGGCTAAATCCCTTCACACTATCACTCATCTTTTAAATCTACACCCCCACTAAAACTCTTCAAAATCAGACTCCCCATCAAGTTCTATTTGGCACACCTCCAACTTATGATCACCTTCACATTTTCTGATGTTGTTGTTATCCTAACCTTTCAGCTACCATGCCTTATAAACTTGATCCATGCTCTGCTGAATGTGTCCTTCTTGGTTTCTGTGAGAACCACAAAGGCTATCGTTGCCTTGACCTCTACAAACAGTGTCATCATCTCTCGTCACATGTTGTTTGACGAACAACAATTTCCTTTTGCGCACAACTCACTGGCACCTTTGAGTTCCTATGATTTTTTGAATGACACAGATGTTCATTAGGTGGTGCTTGGCGTCTTTCCCATGGCAGCATCCAGCTCCGCTAGCCCTTCACCGCCCTCGCTGGTGCGGCTGCTTCTTTTAGAGGCACACAGAGTTCTCCTAGCACCCCAGCACCCCTTGGAGCTGATCCGCTACACGAGCCAGGGCCTGGTGCGAGTGAGGCTTGCTGGATTCATCAACTCTTGGACGAGCTTCGCCGTCCTTTAACACGTGCTACTCTTGTATATTGTGACAACATCAGTGCTGTGTATTTGTCCACAAATCCAGTTCATCACCAAAGGACCAAGCATGTGGAGATCGATCCCCATTTTGTTCGAGAGCGTGTGTCACTTGGAGCTGTGCGGGTTCTTCATGTTCCAACGCCTCTTCAATATGCCGACATATTCACCAAGGGATTGCCAATGGCTGTCTTCATCAACTTCCGCTCCAGCCTCAACATTCGCTCCTCTCCCGGTTGATACTGTGGGAGGGTGTTAGAATATGAATAGGCTTAGAATTAATGTGAATGGTCTTAGCATATGAAGAATCATGTTACTTGTATTATAAACACTTGTTGAATGAATGGAAACTCAAGCCAGTTACTCTCACATAGACCATAGATTCTTGTTGCTTCATAGTGATAGTGATGTGGGGATCTGAAATGGCCTGTGATTTGCCGGGGCCACTACTCCAAGGGGAGCCACATGTGACGCCCTTGTGTGCTGGGTTAGCTGTTCATCGTATCACTTTTGTTTTTCATCAATTCATCGCTAATAAGTGCATGGGGGCTTTACATCTACCAGGGCTACCTGGGATACAACCATATCCAGCTTGATGCTCGGTGACCACCTGATGATGCGCTCTTATCACATGAACTGGTCCATCTTGGACCATTGGTTCTTTTTATCTTTTTATGTTTGCAGTGAGATATTTCTGGCCCCCGGTTCGAAAGGGAAAGCTAGCTAAGGGCGATCATGCATAATTCAACTTGTTAATCTTGGGTGTCCTCATTGAAATAGGGCGCCGGTCATTAACAATACTCAGCGGTTGTGTTGTTTGCTTGTAGCTGCTCATCTAGAAGCAGTTACAATATCTGGTACTAGTATTATGCAAAGTACTATTTTGCAAGCTGGTGTGCATTATTCGATGAACTGTACTGCAATAATCGGATTGCCTAATTTCCATATCTAACCAACTAAATTATGAATTTGTGAGAAAAAAAATCAAGTAACCAAGCATTTATTTGGGCCATTTCATCGGTACTGTAAGCTGGTTTAGTCCCAAAATTTTGATTAGGATTGAATTTGTACATGTTAATTACTAACCCCCACAGCCACACTCACTCACACACCCCTATCTAGTCTCCTGTTTGTGAAAGTTGACTTTGTACTAATCTGGAATCTTGGCCGGCCCTCTGGGCCGGCCGACTGGCAGAGGCCGGTAGTGGTGTGGTGCTGATGGTGCAGCTAGCAGCAGAGATCTCATCTGATTTGTACCAGTAAATTTTCCATGGCACCAGGAGCCAATTGGGAACACAGGTAATAGTGGCCCTGCAGAGATCCAGTGCTGCAAGGACAGCCAGAGGACAAGAGCCAGGAATTCCACAGCCCACGCCACACTACCATGTTCCCTGCCCTGCTGCCCGGCCCCCTGAATCTCAATGATGCATTATTTGTGAAAGAGACACTTCACATCTCCTTTCATCAGTTTGCTTTGCTAATTAACTTTGAATTCACAGAGGAGACTAATTAATTAATAATGGCAAACAGGGAAAATTAAGGGACGACATTCAAATTACACTAATAGTAGCCATATACATTCACTCCATCGATCTCATGTGAAGAGTCATACAAAGAGTAGTAACAAAAAAAAATTAACAAGAGGTGATACCTCTTCATCACTAACCATACACTGCTAAACCTGGCTACAAAGTGTAGTTGAATAACTACACTGGTGGTGTGTATACAATAGCTAGAACAAAGAAATGAACATGCTACTAGGTCAATGAAAAATAAGAGCCTCTTCTTCCATCAACAGGTTGGTACTATACACCAAGCTAGCGGCCATAGCTGCAGTAAAAATCCCCTAGGGCTCACTCACTTCCCCTACTGATGGGAGGGCTCCATTTTTTTTACTCAACTCACTCTCACTGTTTTTACCGTATAACCTAATCAACGACTACTAGTAGTAATGTACCTGGCAGGCAAATTAAAGAACAAATCAACAACAAACCAAGGGGATTGGAATTACTAACTAAAACACCATGAACGAACAACTGTATGTGTCTCTGTGTGTGTGCTTCAGTAAGTTAGCTTCCTTCGTCATGCTGGTGGCTCCATGGATCAGATTAGAAGACGACGGAGATGCAGCGCCTGTGGCAGGCGCCGGCCCTCTTCGTCGGCTTGGTCTCCTCCCTCCAAACGTTGCCAAGGTCCTTGGCAATGCGCACGGCGTCGGCGGAGGCGCCAGAGAGACCACGCCGGGTGAAACCGACAGCGTAGAGCCCAGACTGACCCTTCCATCCGTGGGGGAAGGCGGTCTTGGGGTATCCGTCCTTGCCGAAGAAATCGTTGCCCTGAAAGATTAAATGGAGATGGGGATTGATCAGATCAATGTTCTTGCAATGGAACAGTAGTACGTATAATGGCACTGCCATGTATTTGAATTTGAATTATTGAAGTGTGAATTTACCTGGAGCCACTGTGGCACGTTGCTGCGGTATCCTGTGGCGAGGATGACGGCGTCGAAGTTGAGCGTGCGGCCGTCGGCAAGCTCAACCTGGCCGCCCTTGCCGAAACGTGTGACGGCAGGGGCGACGGCGATGTCACCGGCACGGATGCGGGCGAGCGCGCCGTAGTCGAGCACGGGGGTGCGGCCATACTTCTCCTTGAGCTCGAGCGGGCCGGCGGCGGGGCGGCGGAGGCCGAGCTTAGCGAGGTTGCCGAGGACGAGCCAGGCGAGGAGCACCATGATCTTGTCGACGATCCAGAGCGGGAGCCAGCGCATGAGGAGCACGGCGAGCTCGAAGGTGGACTTGCCGAGCACCTCGCGGGGGAGGACGTGCACGGCGTCGCGCACGACCATAGCCGGGCGGGCGCCGTGGTCGGAGAGGTCAAGCGACACCTCCATGCCCGAGTTCCCGCACCCCACGACGAGCACGCGCTTGCCGGCGTACGCCTCGCCGGACTTGTAGTCGCTGACGTGGGTGACCTTGCCGTCGAATCCGTCGAGCCCCGGGAAGTCCGGGACGACGGTCTCGGCGTTCTCGCCCGTGGCGACGACGAGCCAGCGGCCGATGTACTCCATGTCGCCGCCGTTGTTGGGCGCGGAGGTGACGACGCGCCAGAGTCCGGACGTCTCGTCGTAGCGCGCGGACAGCACGGTGCTGCTGAACTCGGGCTTGATCTCGAACTTGGCCGCGTAGTCCTCGAGGTAGTCGATGAACTGGCGGCGGGTGGGGTACTCCGGGTAGTGGTCCGGGAACGGCATCCGCGGCAGCTCGCAGAACTGCTTGGGCAGGTGCAGCTTGAGGCGGTCGTAGGTGCGCTTCTGCCAGAGAGAAGCGATGCAGTCGGCTCGCTCCAGGATGACGTAGGGGACGCCCTGCTCACGCAGGCACGCCGCCACGGCGAGCCCCGAGGGACCGGCGCCCACGATGATGGGGCCGTTCACCCACACGCAGCGCGGGGAGGAGAGGCTGTTCATGCGGTCGGTAGGAAGGAGACCCATGGTTGGGTTGCTTTGTTTCTGCGCTACTGTGTGTGTATGTGTATGTACGCTGAGGTGGTGGTGGTGGTGATCGATGAGTGTGTAGCTGCTGCTGATGAGAGCTCGAGCTAGAGGTAGAAGAAGGAGGAGGGGGAAGTGTTGTTTGTTGCTGTTGCTGCTGGAGGTGGAGAATGGAGGAGATGTTCGTTGTTGTGTTGGTGGTTTGGGGGGTTAGACTAGGGGGGGTTATATAGGGAATTCGAGTTTTAAATTCTTCTGTTCTCGTTCTAGGAGGAAGGAGAAAATTCGATTCTGGCCGGCCTGAGTTCCTGACCCTGCCCTGAAGGCCTGAGGGTGGCTAGCTCGTGCGACTGACTGACTACACATGCAGGGATGCCCTGTAGCCAGTGGGACGACGGGGCGGAGGGTGGTGGTGCTGGTGCCGCTGCATGCGAGCCACGCACCCGCCGCCGGCCCATTGTTTGCAAGCATTGGCGCCGTGGATCCACGACGCTGCATGCGGAGCGATCCCGTTTACTATTAGTTTTATTAGATTAGTTATTAACCTCCGCCGCGCGGTTTGTTAATCCACGCGCACTTCGCACGCTAACGCCATCCCTCTGTTGTTCCATTTGCTACAACTGTCATCCACGGTCTATGTACTCCCTCCCTCTGTTTTCGGAGTGAATGAATGAAGGCCGTTTAAGCTTTGTCCTAAGCTAAACTAATTTAGCTTTAATTCGATTGGGCCAATATTAAAAAAAAAGATAAAAACATTTACTACATCAAACTATATAATTTCGTAAAATCTACAATTAATTATGCCATAATTTATTTGTATTAAATGTACATACTAATATCTTTTTTTTACAAATTTAGCTAAGGCTAAAGATGTCGGCTCAACCTAAGGAAACAAATCTAAAACAACCAACGTTTTAGATTGGAGGGAGTACGACATAGTAAATTGTGACAAACAGAGCACTAAATTTCAAGAGTGAACCAGTTATTTTGGACCAAATCTAAGAACATCATGCACAAAGAGCTACCGTAGCAACATTTTTTGTTGGTTGTAGTCTCAACAACAGAAATTATAACTACAAACTTACCGACTTATTCTATAATACAATGTAGGATTATCTTTTGTAAAATCAAAAACTGCATTGTGCAAGCTATCACGATCACCATCAAAGTTAGAAATCTTTTAGCTATCACTACCACAAAATTGATTTTAGGACACTCTTGATTTATTTTTAGAGGCGACACTATTAATGTGCCGCTACCATATATAGGATATGTGGCCAAACAACTAATTCTGCCTCAAAAAATGCCCCCAAAGCCTACACCGCCCAATGAGCCAAACCCTAACTCAGTCTCCTCACATTGCCGCCCTCCACACTTTCATCACTCCTCTCTTTCGGTCAGCCCACCAATGGCTGCTCTCCCTCCCTATCATTGCCCGCTAAATACGACCCCAACCCATCGCGCCACGGGCGTGCATCCAGTCCACGCGCACACCCACATAGTGCCCAACGACGATGAGGATTTCCACAACAAGAATGACTCCCCCTCCCCACAATGGCCTCCGTGGCATAGTGTCATTGTCGTGCTTGAGCACTCTGTGCTTGTCCTTTTTCCACGTCCTTCTCATCATCAACCACATCATATAGCCCTTGAAGAGCCGCATCCTGTCCTAGGGCTAGAGATCTAGAAGTGGCATGTCATGGTCATCGCCTCTCTCTATCTCTGTCTCTCTCTCCCCTCACCGCTTTCTCCTTCTCCCTCTTCCCTGCCTCACGCGTCCTCCCAAAACGACCACTTATACACTACTACAAAAATGATTTGTGGCAACGCCTCCCTTTCTTTATAGGGGCAGCTCTATATTGAGCCGCCCCTACAAATGGTTGTCAAATGAGCCGCCCTTACAAATAGATTTGTAGGAGCGGCCAGTGTTATCAGCCGCCCCTACAAATGGTCCGATTTGTAGGGGCGGCTTTATATCCAGCCACCCCTACAAATCAGATTTGTAGGGGCGGCTCAATATTGAACAGTCCCTACAAATAGACACCGAGTATTAAAAATTAAGCACTAAAATTCAAAATTTGTAAACGACCTTGGACAGAGAAACAACCAAAATAAAAGTTGTAGATCTCGAAAAGTTATGAAACTTTGTAGTTGACAACTTTTTGATTTGAAATCATCTTGTCAAGGAAAACTACGTTTGAATTTCCAAAAATTTAAAATTTTAATTTTTCAAACGACCTCGGATGGACAAACAGTAAAAAGTTATGAAACTTTGTAGTTGATAACTTTCTCATTTGAAATCATCTTGTCATGGAAAACTACGTTTGAATTTCTCAAATTTGAAATTCAAATTTTATAAGTGACCTTGGATGGAGAAACTACCAAAATGAAAGTTGTAGATCTCGAAAAGTTATAAAACTTTGTAGTTGATAACTTTTTTATTTGAATTAGTTTAGGGCCTCAAACAATCAATTTATACTCAGTTTTGTATAATATGTGGGGAACCAAAATGGATTGTAGACATAAGTGATCGTGAGGTGCAGTGGTAGAGGAGTTTGTGCGCGAGAGAGAGGTTGAGGGTTCGAATCCCGGCCGACGCAAACTATGCAAAAATCGTGAAAAAATGCTGCAACTATAGAGTTGGTGTGCGGCTGCTGGGTGGGGACCTCCTCGGATTAAAAAAATTGCTATTTTTTGCCCATTTTTCGTGATTTCTGGAAATTGATTTGTAGGAGCGGCTCAATATACAACCGCTATTACAAATCAATTTGTAGGGGCGGCTGATAACACCAATAACCTCTACAAATCGATTTGTAGGACGATCTGAAAACCGCCCCTACAAATGATTTGTAGAAGCGCTTGGGTAGGGACGACTGGGCAAACCGCCCCTACAAAGCCTCTAGAGCCGCCCATACAAATACTATTTCACGTAGTGATAGTGGACTCCAAAGGTGAGATCCAAGGCTGGTGTGCTGGATCCAGAAGGTGGTGTGTGAATCCATGTCGGTGGCAGCAACATTGTTCCAAAAGCATGCAAGGTTGCTGGTATGGTGGATTCAGCCGGTAGCGCTATGAATCCAGTCGGTGGCAACATTCCTCTCATCAAAGTGCACAAACATGGTTGACGATATCCTTGAACCCCTCATCCCCGCTCAAGCACATCCTCTCAGCCCCAAGCACTCCACGGCGAGCTGGGCTAGGGAACTTTTCTATGCCTAATTCATTTGTTAACTAACAACCAAGTTAGTCAAATCAAATCCATCAGTTGCGACGATAGAACTCTTTTTAAAGAATATTAATGAAATAAAATATATAATAAGTTACCAAGGAAATAGTAGAACTATTTTTAAAGAGTTATTAATGAAATAAAAGATTTAGATCTTATTAGCAAGAAAAGAAAAATGCGTATGCGGATAAATGTAATGCGTATCTCAAGTGCTTGAAATAACCGTAGAATCCATCTAACCCATAAAAATACAAATTCCTCGATTATTTTCGAAACTCAAACCGACAAGGAAAAAAGCCTCCCACCATTACAATTAAGCGAGTAAGGCACCGACCGCGGCCAAAAAATTATATATTATCCAGAGTAAACCCTGATCCTTGCTATGCTTTGGGGAAACGGTGGTCAGAAGAGAACCTTATGCTATATATACTCCACTAGTTAAACCGTGTCTAACCATTTCTTTTTCTAGGAATACTAATTAACTAAACAAACCGTGTGTTACATGAATGAAAGCAAAAATACCAACTGGTGACATGCTGTCAAAGCGAGCCTTCCAACGAATCCCCAGTTTCCAAGTGGAAAAAAAAATACTATAGCTAGCTAGCTACCAGTGGACTGCCAGGTGGGCCCGTCACTTTACAGTGCAGTGCCAGCAGGGACGGTGGCGCCATATGCATCGTTCGCAGTGCACTGAACAGCCTCTCTCAGCTTTTTGGCGCGAGAGACGTTTATTTTCGTGCACGCGCATGCACTGTTGGCAGTCGCTGTGATGTACTTTTTCTTGATATTGTATTTTTTTTTCTCTCCTCTAGGTCTAGGTACAACTGTAGCATCTGTTCATACACACGCACGTCCACTCAACACACGTACACTACACACCACCCGTAATAAAATAAACCTATAGCTACACTCAGATCAGAAGACCGCGTCCTTCTTGAGATCACAGAAATCCATTGATTTCGTAGGCGACGGGTACGTCACGATCCATTGTGACCCCGGCCGGCCAGCTCCCACCACCGGAGCCTTGCCACTGCTCGACCTCCAATAAACTAGGAAAGGAGGCCGGCACAGCTCAAAAGCCTCGGTGTGCAACGCTTGTGTTTGCCATGGCCTTATGGGAATCCATCTGTTCTTTTGTATTTGTATTCAAACACACGGAGAATGTATCCCATTGCATCATCTTTTACAAAGACAAAAAGGTTCATATATGAGCAGGGGAAACATGAGTTTGTAGTTAATGACATATATAAGTTTTAATTAAACAACAACACTGAATAAATATGTTGGATCAATCCCTTGAAATTTTCTAAGTATCACAACTTCAACGTGTACATAAGGTACACCTATGATAACTTCCTCAATTTTGAAATATGTCGGCTCACTATGTGGGATGGTGCTCATACGGATATATATAGAGTTTACGTGCATACATTTGTATGGGTGAGTGAACGTGCGTCCTTATACCGTCTGCGTATGTACTATTATGTACTTAGCCAAAAAAAAAAAGTGTTGGGCCACGGTATGATAGCTAGGTTTCTTGTAAACCATGTTGTTGCTTACGTTTGCCATCTTCCTGTGATCAGCTACGGAAGTAGCAATTGTACTGTAGTATGGTGTTTGGCAAAAGCAAGCCCCAAACTGAAGCAGCTGCTGGGCAGCTTCACTAGTCACTGTACATACTGTGTCCCCTCCGACGCTGCAAAATATATATCCAGTGTCCTTTGCGACCTATATCAAGAAAGATGTAAGCAACACACACAAAAGGGCGACGCGG